CTAACATTACCTTAAAGAAAATTAAACACGTGCATTGCATCAGCAAAGACTGGTATTATTATAAGTGTGAAATAATTTGTCCTTGTGTAGCTCATAATTCCGGCTAATAATTCAAGGATTTTGCTATTTATACATAAAAAAAAAGTGTATATAATATGATCTAAAAAAATATTGAATTGAAAAATTAATTGTATTTTAAAGTGACAAATGATAAGGAGACATACTATTATATAATCCATTATAGCAAAATTCACAATTCAATTGGTGGAAACATAGCCACAAGCTTGCACGCATGGATTGTGTCAGTTTTGTGATATAGAATATAATTGTATCAGTTTTGTGATATGCATAAATTAATGATATACACGTGTTCTTCTTCCTTTAAAAGTGATAATTATATATGCTTTTATACTTGTACATCTGTCTATTATAAAATATTGTTGCTCCTAAAATAGCACATTATTATTGATATGTTTTAGTTAGATTTTACTTGCTCCAAAAGAGGATAATTAAATGAAATTTAATATAAATCATGTTTTTGCTCCAAAAGAGTAAATATTTACATAATTTTTATTTTTAAATATTACTATGTTATTGCTTCTAAAGAGCATGTCATTAAATTTTAATATTTCAGTAGAATAGGTGTATTGTTCTCAAAGAAGCAATAGAAAAATACAATATGCTCATCAAGTAACACATGTTTCGAATAATATATTATTTTAAATTTATATTTATTCCTGAACGAAAATATATAACTCATGTCATATTGATATTGATTAATTTGTCTACTTGATTGATTGTTATATGGTTATATAAAGTTTAATTATATTCCTCAAAATTAAATAATTGAATTATATTTTATATTGAATCAGAAGTTCAATTTAATTTTATTGTTTGACATGACTAGTTAGACCATTACTTAAATCAACAATGATGTGAAATTAAAAATTCAAATGGACATTCAATAAAGAATCAAAAGATATTCAATACAATGAATTCCTATATATATTATCTGTTCTCTTTATTGACAATTGATCATTATGTTGGAAAATAATTTCATATTGAATGAAATAAGTTTCGTTTGAATGAAAATCAACAGTTTAGCAATTCATTTCATCAGTTTAGCAATTCATTTCCTACA